TATAACTAATTCCGTTTTGAAGGTGGAGGGTAGTGACTTTTTTGCCCCACTTTCCCAGTGACGCGCATACCCCCACCCCTTGCACATCCATTTTATCTAACCATCCCTCTTTACGAGAGGTCGTCGGACCTGGTATACTTATAAGACTCTCACAATCAGCGATAGTACGGTTCTTATTCGGGTATGCAATACTTGCTTAATGAGAGTACAACGGCTGTACTTAGTCTTTATATAGGGAAAATTGAATCGCTTTCATTGAGAAGGTTTAAAAGGAGTACTTCCCTTTGTAGAGAATGTTCAACATGACCTTCACAACAAAGGCCTTTATTCAACGTGGTAGTTTTTTGCATGTTAGAATTCCAAAAAGACCGTGGTACTCTTTTCGTAATCTTAATTTAAGTCTTCGATTGCAGAGACTGCTTAGTAGTAAATCTGTCATCAACTTTTCGCGCTTCTGAAATCTCACGTTATTGTTTGTTCAATTGTTCAAGCCCGAAACTACCCGAAGGCGCAATTTCATACCGGAGTGGCGTATTTATGCATAAGGAAATCTACTCCATACTTACGTCCTTCAGACAGCTAAACAACTTTTCATGCATAGATTCGAAGTTTTCAATCTGTTGTGGTTTTGGTAGGCTGCTGCCAGACTTTGCAACCGCTAACGAATCGGGTGATTCGCTACATAGCTGTTGGGCACCAAGTCCGAGACCCGCCTTATTGTTTGTCCTGTTTCTTTGGAGGACTCGGTTTATGATTTCTTCGAATGCTGTTTTGCACACCGTGTTAAATTATTCTTGAATAAAGTAAACCCCTGATGCTATTGACGCTGCACTACGTCACTGCGCTTGCAGCATGCGTGTTTTCTTCAATTGCTTGTCCAAAATGATTTCCGAGTTCGGTTTATTAGTTGAATTATTCTCATACCGTAGTACCAGTGCATTCGGAGAATGCTCTCAAACGACTTCCCCAATACCTTCCATAAAGGTGCAAATTGTAGCAGGAACTGCGTAAAGTATCACGGTTCGTGAAATGCTCTGCTGTTCGCGATCAAAAGGGGACTTTAGCACATTAGGTGATTCATTAATTTACGTAGCGGATATTCAGATGTCCGAAATGGACTGTAATGGCTTGACAAAGTGAAAACTTCACACATCCTCCTATCCCTCCTAATCCAATTTTTTCACTATAGCGGGGGGAAACACCACAGAGTGATTTAGCCCACGCGCACATCACTGGCTGACACTGTTTCGTCCACAAGGACGCCGCTATATTGCGGGAGTATATATGGCGCTGTATTGCTTATGACTGTCGCCCGCCAGTAAGCAGAATCAGGCGACACCTTCGTTGAGTTAACCGTCTCGCATGATATGGCGTCATCTGGTCAATCCCGACCGTTAAGCTCAAGAGCCGCGTAACCATAATCCGCTGGCGCGGCCATTCTGAAGCTGCTACATAATTTCTTCAATCGAATAACTGGTGAATGGCTTCTTAGGGACACTAGCTCTGAATATGCAAATGGCTTTTGACCAGCGTTTCAGAGACGTCGTAATCGTCTATGGTTTCTCGACGACCTCGTTGAGCTCGTACCGTGAACCATGTTTCCGTGGGAAAATCTTCTGATGTCGTCGGTGTAGAAAGCCCCTATGTAATTTTTGATAGAATAGAATGTGCTCTTCAATATGCAATTGAGCTCATTCGGTTTGGTTTTGGCAAAGTGTAATTAATTCTGTTTTGAATGTGAGTGAGAGTGACTCTTTTTTTGCCCCCCCCCTGTAGTTCATGGGCTTCTGGAAGATCGGCGCAATGTGAAGTGCTGACTTATATTATGTTGGCATTTCATTGTTCTATATTATTTTAGAAAAACGGCCGCTGAAACCACCCCTCGTGATTGCCTCTCTAGTGCTCACCTTTGTGGATTAAACATACGCTCGAGGAATCGCGAGGTCGAGGTGGCGCATTACAGTCAAGATAGAGGGTCGGGATGAAGAGAAACGGTCCAGGAACCGAGAAACGCGACGCCCTTCCTTGTGCATTTGCGCACTGATGCGACTTTCATCGGTGCTGCTCTCCTGAACGCTCTCTGCCAAACGCCTAGATACCCGCGACGAGTGGTTAGCCAGTCATCGGGTGTGCCGCGCCAACAGCGCCGCTAGATCCACCGAGTGCGTAGTATCTTTCGTTGCGAATTGGTCACTTTGGGGTCCTTCCTTTTCAGTAAGCAAATTTCCCCTTCTCCGACGACCTTTTCGTGGAATACTCATCTGAATATAGAGCTACGAACGAATTGCTTCATCCATTGAAGGGGTAACTTTAAAATGGAAAAAAATGGCTAGAACCCCCAATACTATCGACGGGTCACAGCACTTGCACAGCGTTATGAAAGAAGCTCTCACAAAATCGGAAGATGTGCAGTCGAGTGGAATGTGGCAAGAGTATGCACTTGCATAAGTTGGGTTTCTATGGGCGAAGAAGTGATGTGGAACCAAGTGGCGCTCTATACCCTACACGGACAGATCAAATCGCGATTAAATGCCAATGTGATTACGGATGAACTCTTTCCGCCCTAGCGGTGGCGATTTCTCTCACCAAATTCTCAGACGTCTGCACTACCGGCACGCCACATATTTATATACCTGCGCTGTCAAGTTGGTCTTCAGACAAAATCTTCCTGCGCAAATTGCGTTGCACTCAACCACTTGCCCAAGCCATCGGCACCCTGCCGCCTCCCACTAAAGGAAACCAACTTCTAAAAAGGATTTGAGCCGTAAAGGTTATGACAGAATGCGCGCTCGCCTTACGAAAGAGATCACAGACCAGCAAGAGTAAAGGCCAAATATAAATGAGCCAATTGCGGTGCACCAGTGCGGCGGCACAAAAAACAGAATCTGCGGTCAATTTTGATGGCGCGGACGCCACCAAATTTTCAAGATTTGCTTGATCTCGCAACTTCTGTTACTGATCTAATGCCGCCTCTATCACGATTGTCTTTTCAACCTCTTTCCCTTCGTCAAAATCAGTCCTCTTCGCCGTCCCCTGCC